TGTAACTCTCCAAACGCCACGCGTTATCGCATATTCCGTTGTCTAGACTAGACTGTTATACGCATTCACCCCTCCCCACGCCTCGCTCACAATACGACGGTACACTATTCCTATAAAAATTTATTTTTAGTTATCGTACCCGTACACGCGTGCTTGTCATCAATATTATATATATGTAAACAAATTTTTATTTTGACTGACCAATAACGCCCGCGTCTAATGCGCCTTACGTATATATATATATATTCCTACCGCCGTTTATACCTCTGGTATAACGTTAGTCCGACCCGCCCGGGCATAAAACACAGCTATACCTAGTGCATGATACTTTTATGTAGTGAAGTCGCATTATTTGTATATATATAAATATATATATATATATATTCTAATTACTATTAAAATTAATATATTAACACGATTTATTCTAATTAAGAGATATAAAGTATTCATTCCGATTACGAGGGATGATTTCCGTATCGTCATTTTTCGTCACTACCTCCACGTTCCGGGAGTGAGTAATTTACGCGCCTGCTGCTTTCCTTGGATGTGGTAGCCGTTTCTCAGACTCCCTCCCCAGAATCGAACCCTGATTTCCCGTTACCCGTAACAACCATGATATTGATAGTAACTACTATCATAACATGAAACTAAAAAGTAAAAAATAAATATAGTTTAAAAAACTAAAAAAACACGCTTTTAAAGTACATCGAACTAAAAAGTTAAAAATAATTTTTAAAATAATTATGAACAAAAAATACTAGTATTATTGTGATAAAAGCGTGGGTGCTTTGTGCCATATTTTTCGTATATTGAGCGCCCGACGCTTTTATCACAATAATACTAGTATTTTTTGTTCATAATTATTTTAAAAATTATTTTTAACTTTTTAGTTCGATGTACTTTAAAAGCGTGTTTTTTTAGTTTTTTAAACTATATTTATTTNACTATCATAACATGAAACTAAAAAGTAAAAAATAAATATAGTTTAAAAAACTAAAAAAACACGCTTTTAAAGCACATCGAACTAAAAAGTTAAAAATAATTTTTAAAATAATTATAAAATAATTATGAAAAAAATACTAGTATTATTGTGATGAAAGCGTGGGTGCATTGTGTCATATTTTTCGTATATTGAGCGCCCAACGCTTTTATCACAATAATACTAGTAATTTTTTTCATAATTATTTTAAACTTATTTTAAAAATTATTTTTAACTTTTTAGTTCGATGTGCTTTAAAATTAATCTTTATTTAATATTATTATTTAAAATTAAAAATTAGACTTAATTATAATGTTAAGTATTTTGATGTGGGTTCATACAAAGAAATACTTACAATTTTATATCATATATATTAAACTTGTCTATTTTTAAAATTTAATTTTTTTTTTTTTAATATTATAATACAAATTCTATATTTTTAAGAAGTTTTACAAAATTAACTAAATAAATATAAAACAATGTATCATTAATAATATTATAATTTATTTCAGTTGTTTTATGTATTTACATAATAAGCAAAATATTTTTGTTTCATATAGATTCATACCACCAATAGATCTAGATATAAATCAAAATGATGGAATTAAAGCTCTCAATATTCTTCGTCGGGAATCTGGTTGGAAAAAAATGGAACACATAAGTATAATTTATAATGGTAAACAATTTAGCGTAGATTGGGTAATAAAAGACGAAATTAACTACTTGAATTTTCAAATAAAAAAGGAGCATGTAATACAATTATTAAGATGCCGGTATACAGAAATAATTAAAAATTACTATACATTGTTATCTGCTATATTGTTTCTATGCAATGCAGATGATAATGACGATTATAATCATTGTTTGATTGAGTTGTATAACTCATTTAACAAATCTAAATTAATGCTTGAAGGATTACATTTAGCGTTGATTACTTTAAATAAATTATCAATATCAACTGATAACATCAACTCTCAATCGAATTTACAGAATATATTAAACTGGGTAACAGGTTTTCTCCGTTTATTGAAGAACAATGAATTGTTTCAAGATAGTTATGATGAACAACTTTATATAAAAAAAATGGAACTGATTAATAACCTACTAACAGATTTTTCTAAGTTTTTTGTTGACTTTCGTAAAGAGTTACGAAGCGATTTGGGTTACATAAAAAACCGTTGTTTAATAAAAAAACCTTTTTATGATAAATTCAAAATAATAAATGATTTTAGATATTCAACAACTGTATTGAAAAATGCGTATCCTCAATATCTAATCCAAAAATACCATACTGCGTGTAATTATTTTGTCAAATTTTGTGAAGATGCTTACACATCATGCTATGAAGATATGGGTTTCAGAAAAATTTATTTTGCAACAAATGCATAGGTATAAAACTTAATCATTGTACAGTCGATTAAATGGATTATTTATTTGTTTAGTTTTCACTACATAGTATAAGCTAGGTATCAACAAAATGAATTACCAGTAACAAGATAAAAATTTTTCACTGAGATATTTTAAAATTATTTTTTATAGCATTTAACGTTATAAACCATTATTAAATCTTATTTTTAATTATATTAAATTAAACATTTGAAAAATGAACTGTTTTGTATTATCTTTTTTTTTTTACTTAAAAAAAATACATTACTATGTAAATATCGTTAAAATTGAATTGTAAAAGTTATGTGTAATATAAAATTTTGATTTGTTATGGATTCTTTTTAATTTCTTTATAGGAATCCTCTTAAATAATTTTTGATACTCTATTAAAATAATATTCTTTTTTTCAGTATTACTTTAGAATTCTCTTTAACTCATTTTAAATTAAAGCAGATTTAATTTTTTAGGTGCTATATGAATCGTAATTTTATCATTTTTTCCTGAAGACTCTTTATTTATGACAACAATTTTTTTATAGAAAATTTAAACACTCCATTTTTTTAAATCTTGATTATTAATATCAACACTTTAAACATTCATTTCAATAGCTACTAGAAAATCTTTCATCGGAAGTTTTTTCAGTAAAAAATGGGTTCTAAGACTCAACTTAAGTATTTCTGTTTCTTCATCGTAAAACAATACATTCATATAATTCTTAACTAAATTTTTCCATCATTTTTAAAATAAAACTACCGAATTTTTATTGAAATTATTTACTTGGTGCTTTTTTTATTTTTTGAAAGTAATTTTTTAAGATTTTTTCTTTTTTGTTTCAATTTTTTTTTTCAATACTACATATATTCAAAAATAGAACTGATTATAAATAAAGTACAGAATTGATTTTGAAAAATTAATATTATTACTGTTTGACTTACTTGGTATTCTGGAAAACTTCGAAGAATTAATGAAACAATATTTTAAATAGAAAGAGAACAAATAATACAATTTTTGAGATACGGGTCACTGAAATAATTAAAAATTACAATGTACCATATTCTTTCATACTACATATATGCAATACAAATGCATTTTGTAAATTAAAAATTGATAAATGTTTAACCCAATTCTATAAATAATTTGAAAAGTCCAGGAAAATGCTTAAAACTTTTAAGGTAGTGACACGACTTACGTCGCAAAAATGTGGTCGACACTGGTTTTGAGGGTAGAGACATTTATTAAATGAGCGAAAACAGGTTATTTTAACAAAAAATAAAACAAACTGAAAAGATAAACACAATAATAATAATTATTCTCTCCAATAATTTTGAGAGTACGCTCAACAGTGATTTAGGTAGATATCTAGTTGGGTTGTCGACGAGCTTACCAGGTTTTAATAGAGCGATCATATTAGCAGTCTTCCAACTTTTAGGAACTCTACCATTTTTGTAGATCGCGTAGAAAATTTCCGCAATCCAAAGATGGGTTTTAGAGCTTAAGTTACGTAAGAATTCTGGGTGAATTCCATCTGTCCCATGTGCTTTACCTGATTTTAATTCTTTTACTACGTTGCATACTTTCATACAACTGAAACATACTGAGGAAATATTATGTGGCTGATGAATTTCGGATATATGGTGTAAATGGGATGTGATTATTTTGTTGTGTCGTTTATCAATTTTTATATATGAGTTTTCTACTAACACTTTAGTTACTGTTTGGGCTTTGTTTTCAGTTGATGGCTTATAACTGGTTTTCCTTTTAGTCTTCTGAAAACTGCACATTGCTATTTCTCTTCATATCTAGTAATTCTACTGTGACGATCCAATTTTGTTTTTTATCGAGCGATGACAAGATTCTCCTAGTTTTATATTTTGGTTGTGTTTGTACTCTGTAAAAAGCTTTTCAGATTGTTCATCCCACTCTGGTATATAGGATTTCCTGTATCTCCTCGTGATGTTTTTTTTGCTGACTTTATTAGCAATCCAATAAATCTAGATATACTACAAGGAGCTTTAATAATTTGATTCACAATCTCTTCTACATAATTTTGGAAGCCCTGTCAGTCGGCTATTTTAAAGTTCTATCTTTTATTTGGTAATGACTCAATTATCTCAATTATCTAATTTAAAACCAACGTTCATTAATAGGAGCTTAGGCTGACTATAGGGAAAATCCCCAATCACGGTTCTACCCTTCTTCTGAAAGGGAAATATTATCATCATCTAGTGTAATTAGTGTGAGGTATGGGTTATATCCAGCTTTCCATCTTGCTGACGAAAAGGTACATGGTCCTTCAAGTCTTGGATGAAGTGTAGGTCTTGGCATGTAAATCCACTCTTCTAATACTTCTCTGGTTACATCTACGGTGCTATATCCTCAGATCATGTCGCGACTGTTGAAATCTCCTACTATTAATGATGATGTCTTTGAGATTGTAAGAAGGGTACCATTTAACCAACTGATTTCAGGGGGCTTATAAGTTGTTTGGGAAACTCGTTATTTAAATAATAAAAATAGAGTGAACTGTATTTCTAGATTTTATTTTATTATAATGAAAAATGATTTATAGTAACAATTATTACGTCGCGAAATGGTCCGGCAATGTTACCGGCGCAGCGTATAACGAGCAACTAACCGATCCCACCATTATCACAAGCGATAATCGTATACTAAACATAAGTATTGTATATATCCACGCTTTCGTTATGCCAATAATTGAAGTTGTTTCTACTTTTTTAGGAATGGTATCTGAGTAATCTAAAATGTCTTCCCGTATAAATAGCAGTTTCATATTTTGGATGGGTATCTAGACATGCGATTTTAAACCCTTCAATATGTAATCTATCATATTGGGAATCATCCGAAACGTGGGTTTTTTGGAGGCATAGTACATCCGCTTTTGCTCGTCGGCGATTTTTTTCAAATTTGTGTGCTTTGGTCTAGATAGGCCTTCTACATTTATTTGTATAATATTCAAACATTTTAAGCTTGGTTCATGATATTGATTATAGAGATCTGAAGTATCTAGATCATCATCAGGGTAGCGCTTAAAAAGTCTATTTTGGGAGAGTCTTGTGTATGTTATGTGATTGTGCCCATTATAAGATCTGCGATAGTTTTATGCTAAGATAAAAGACTGTTTGCAGGGGTGGCCACAAGCAGGTTGCCAACATACACCCCACTTGTTTTCATTGATATTTTATTTTCCAATGTCTAGACTACTTTACAGTTCACACAGAAGGTATCAATGATATTAGTGTGGGTTGATAATATAGTTGTATCGTCAGCAAAAGATACTATCAGAATAATTGTGTTATTAGGTATATCCACAGTAAAAATGTTGTATAAATCAAGTGTAAGGTCTTTGTCTTGAAGAACACCAGCTTCAATTAAGTAATAAGGTGAATTAATACAGTCTTACATTATCTTTTCTTTTTTGTATGAATGATCTTATAATTAGGTATAATGATGCTGGGAGTATTTTTTTCAATTTGTAGAGCAAATCATTATGCCAAACACGATCAAATGCCTAGGCAACGTCTAGAAACAGTCCGATGCAATATTGTTTGTTTTCAAGTGCTAAGGCAATAGTGTCGGTCAGCCTATGTGACTGATAGACTGTTGAGTGTTTCGCTATAAATCAAAACTGGGTGTTTAGTATATTATTTTATTGTAAGCTGAATTTTAGTTTCCGTTGACAAAGTTATTGACTTTCCAGGTTTGGATAATAGTATAACCATCCTTACTTTCCACATTGGAGGGAAATAAGACAGTCGAAGCATATTTATATTTCCCTCTATGAGATAAAATTAATTTTATTCGATATATTTTTTTTTTTAATTCCGTATGAAATAGCATCAAAATTTAAAAGATAAATTAATGAATTAGCTCAATTTTATAAATAACAAAACATATATATAGACATTATAGAATTTTAACCTAAAATAATGAATTTAGTTTAACATATGTATTCAATAAAATATTTTTTTTATAATAATAATAATAAATAAATATGTTTTTATTAATCAAAAGTATCTCATTTAGAATAAATTATAATTAATTTAAAGGCTATAAAAACAATATAACTTCATTTTAATTTTAAGTAACTTATATAAAATTAACCTATGAATGTGTTAAAAATTGCATGGATTGTTTTGTTGCTTGAACTGCTTGAGGATATATCCATGTTTACAGTTGAGTTCTGGCGTTTAAAATTAACCTATTCTATGATCTAATCTAAAGCTTTATCAATTTAGGTATTATTAAAAATAAATTCAAAATATAACAACTAAGCTATAATAATACAAATTTAAATTATCAACTGATGAAATAAATCTGATGAAGATTTATCAACAAAGTACAACGAAAAAAATCATTATGGTTTTAATCAAATAACTATTTTAATTAAACTTTTACATAATAATAATTTTATTTTACTATGTGGTTTTTTTTTTGTAGCTATCATTTATTTTCTCAGCTCTCATTTGACTTACTTTTTTGACAAATTTTTTTTTTTAAATTAAATACTATCTACAGATTTGCATCGAAGCGTTTTTTATGATAGTGATTTTAATCACTGTCAGATATCATCTATACTGGACCCAACTATGCCACGACCCCACTGTGCTGGGTTTTTTTTAATTAATGGTAATTAATAAACAATAGTCAGAGAAAAGTAGGGGATAAATTTATGAAGCTATTCAATAGTTGATACAGCTGACAGAATGAGCAGATATGCTTATTCAAACCTCCAATTTACTCCTCACATATATAATATTATAGGTTCTAAGTGTTCATTAAACCGTAATAGAAATAGTAACTTTCAAAAATTGATGTTTAACTATTAGTCTTAAAAAAATCATAAATATTTTAAAAGTTAAATAATGGAGAAAAATTGTATGCGATGAATTAATCAATTACGATATCTAAAATTATTTGTTAATGTGAAAACTAATAATATTGTTACATTATAAGCTATTTATTAGATTGTCTTTTTCCAGAAATTAACCAAATTACTATCAGTTGAGTTTTTTTCATTTTAATAGAATAAAAATCAAAAGTATCCACTCTGTAACATAAATTTAAACCTACATGAAATATTTTACAGCAATATATTGATAGAAATATATCTAGCAATGCTTGTTACTTACATTTTTTTTTTATCCACAAATTCAATAACGTTGAGTAGTACAAGATTAATTCAATTTGGATTCTATAAATACAATTTTTATGTAAATGTTTTTAAAATTACTTTATAATATGGCGATTTTTAACTATACAGTACAATTTAATAAAAATACTACACTAATTCAAATTAAGATACATAAACTAAGTTCAAAAAGTTCTACTTTTTATATGCTTTTTTAAGTTTACCCTCTTTAATGGAAAGAGTTCGATTTAAAAAAAAAAAGTATGTCGAATGAAAAAATAATACAAATATTATTTCTCATAAAAAAATTGTATTGATCCATACATTTTTCCAAAAAGTTATAACATTTAAAAGTTAAAAATTTTAAATATAAAATCGATAATTTTAACAAAAAAATAGCATACGGTAGCTATTTTCACCGTGAAGACAAAATAAAGTCCGAAATTATTTTATTTCATAATACATTATATTACATAAGCGTTAATTTAAGGTATTTCCGAAACACTTTCAAAAGTTAAGTTGAAATTGTAGCATGTAGTATTATCTTTAATGCTACATGTTGCCGATTTTGGCATTGATTTTCTCCAAATATTGAATTTGTCACTTGTACCCTTTGTGAACTTATACAATTACTAGTAAATTTATGATAAAACCTAAATTTTCATTAAAACCACTTATTATATTTTTTGTATTTATATCGCAATAAATAATTTCAATAGAAATACTAAACATTCCTATGTAACTTTTGGTGTTTAAATAGATATTAATTGAAATAACCAGAACTGAATTCCGTACAGTTGTATCCTATATTTTTTTAAATATCTAATAATAATATCAAATAATAGTGGTGATAGAAAAAATCTCATTTCAGACTTGAAATCAGCGCAAAAAATTGATCAATAAAAGTATATATTTGACTCTGATGAAAATTACTTGTAGATCATTTATTCATAATTAACAACAAATTATACCTGAAAAGTTTTGTATCAAGCCTTTCAATTTTTATACACGTTTGGCATAAAAATAACAACTACTTTATAATTTTTTACATTTCTCCGTAAAAATTACTATACTACATTATTGAATATCATTTTCATACTATATTTAATTGCTTATTCAATCATATATTATACTTATAAATCACAGAACTAATAATTAGGAATAATAAAAGAAATAGGATTTAATTTTGCTTTCAGAATAATCCACCAATTTCTTAAAATTAAACAATATCTACAGATTTGTATCGAAGCGTTTCTTATGATAGTGATTTTAGTCACTACCAGATATCATCTATACTTGTTCCAACTATGCCACGTCCACCCTGTGATACAGTTTTTTTTTTATTTTAATGTCTTTGACTAGATACGATTTGACTATCATTGAAAGAAATCGATGAGCGCTGAGAAAAAGTGGTAACAGGCACAAAAAAAAAACACATCATAGTGAAATTTTTCATCAATGTACACTTATTATTTTAAAATATACAATACGACTTTAACTTGATTTTCATAAAAGTCAGTAATTAGTAATGTGTGTAATTAAGATTCAAAAAATTCAACATTTTATTCAGTTCTAGTGTGTCATATTATATTTGTCTCATTATTTTAACTAAAATGCTATTTGTCATTTTGAAAGCGTTTAATTCTAAAAATAAAAATTTGAACAGTATAACAATTGTATCAATACATTTAAATATTAATAGCTAATAATTTTAGGTAAACCAAAAAAAAATATATTAATAATTACAGGGTGTTTGAAGAGTATTTCATACATTCTTTAATAATTAAAAAATTATATTTCTCTAAATTTAAAATACTTAAATGTATAAAAAGAAATAAATCAACAAAAAGTTTTAAGAATCAAATTTATCAAACATCCAAAAAATGATCTATCTAAGAAAATGACTGACCGACAATTTTTAAAACAGTTTTTTGAAAGATATTAACTCATTAATTTAAAAACTGGAGGTAAAGTGTGGGTCTATTCGTGTTTATCTCTTAGAATTAATAAATCGCAATACTCACTGTTATAAAAATACTAATAACTTTTAAAACACTTATCCAAAATTTGCTATCTACTAGGCATTTTCTTAACATGTTTTCATTTAAGAACTTGGGTTAATAAAACTTTAAAGGGGAAATATAGAGAAGAAAACCAAATTATTTTCTGTAAATTATAGAACATAGGATAATATTAACTTCTAAAAAGAAAAAATTATCTAATGTTTTATATTTTTAGGAATATTACGTTAGTCATAATTAAAGATCACTCCATGTATTTTTTATAAATGATTTATACAGTTTCATTTATTAACAATACTTTTTTTTTTGTTAAATAATTATTTTTTCATAAAAATGCATTGATTAAAAATTGATTTATTTTTATGAACCATAGTAAGTATCAAGTTTATTGTGAGAAAAAATATTTTTGAGAATATATTATAGGGTCGCTATAACTATTTTAATAGAAACCTATTATTTTTTACTATAAAATTGAGAATGGTCTAAACAAAATATTTACTAGTATTATCGATAAGTAAATGTTTTATTTAAAGATTTATGAATGTTAAGAGTAGGTATGATTTAGCGATTTTATTTTTACCATAACGTACTAACTCTTCTTGCCTATAATAAAAAATTATTGCTTTATTTAGGCCATTATCAATTTAATAGTAAAAAAATATAAATATATTCTGATTAAATTTTTGAAAATGACTCCTAAAATCCATCTTTAAAGATAACTTTTTCCTACAATATTTACTATGTTTCATAAAAATAAATGAAATTTTAATCCATTCATTTTTGTGAACAAATTATTGATAAAAAAAATAAATATAATCTTTATATATCACACTACACAACATTACACTTCATAAAGAGCAACCTTTTTTTAATCGTAAGGTTTCTAACGTATTATTTACTATGTCAATAAAATATTAATCATTAATTTTTCTACAAATTATTAAATTTTTATAAGATTTTGTTTAACTCTGAAATTTAAAATATGGAATAATACCCTGTAAAATTGAAACTATTTATAAGCAAATGCTCACATCAATACACATTGCTTCAGTAATAAATTGTATGATACCATAAATGTTGTAGTATTTGTAATTACACGCCTGTTAAAATTCTATCTCAATATTTTACCTAAAGTAATCTTAAATGAATATAATTGCTTTTATTCTAATTTCTTGTACTTTTTTACTTTTGAAAATCAATTCAGGTGCATATTGCACTGGAAAATTACCTGATCAAGATGGACAATCAATCTACATTACCTATGCAATAAATTGCATTCATGCTCAAAACGGATGGAAGGCTTTACAAAATTTAAAAATAGAACCAAATTTATACAACTCCATAGTTGAGAAGAGTATAAAATTATCATTAAAACCAAACATTCGAAAATTAATTGAACCTTTTTGCACAACTATTATTTTGCTTAATTACAAATATACAGAAGTACTAAAAACTTTTGTTGATTATTTGCATATAATTATTCATAAATGTCAGCAATTTCATAATGAAAATTATACAGAAAATTTTATAAATTGTGTTACTTTATTGACAGAAGAAGTTAAAAATTCTGAATCTATGTTCGATCATCTATACAACGCTATGGCATATATGAATAACTTTGATCAAATATTTATGTTTTTGAAATACTTCGAGTTAGTTTCCATAGTTAATGACATTTACTATTTTAAACAATATGTTTCACAAAAAACTGAAAAAAATTTCTCTTTGGATCTAAATGAAACATCATTTATTCAAGACTCCAACATTGAATTTGAAACTTTAAAAGAATTTCACGATAAAGCTTCAAAAATTGTAAATAACCTTAACCAAAACAGTAATGTTATAGATGATGACAACAAACAAGATTTATTAACGACATACTATGCAAAACATTTGAGTGAAAGAAACATTGATTTTATCAGTTTTACATGTAATCAACTTAATTCTTTTTACGAAAAAACTATTAAAAATTTATACAAAGACCTTGGTTTTGAAGAATTAATGAATTCCAGTTTACCCAGGTAAAAATAATATCACCAACCGACAAGAATAGTGACATTACTTAAAATATATTACGGGAGAGGCAAAGAAAAAAAAATACTATTCATGTTAAAAAAATCAGAAAATTAAAGTATTAAAAAGTTGTGTTACTATTCTTGCCGATAATTATAGTTATATTTATATTTTTAATTACTAATCAAAATGAAGGTGTTGAATTAAATACATTTTTTAGTTAAATTTTGTTTTTAACAAATGCTATTTTTTAAATTTTTATATAATATTGAATTTATACTATTAATAATAACTATAATTAATAACTCATTAAAATATTTTTACATATATATTGTAAAAAATGCAACAAATAAAATCAATATATCAATGAATGAACATACTATGTTGAGACTGCTTATTAAGTAGTCTCTTACAACAAAATAGCATAGAATTTCATTAATATCAATTTTATCATTAGAACAGAGTAATCATAAAATATATTGAAGAAAAATGGGAAGCTATTAAAAAAACTTACTTTTACTTCAGATATTATAAAATCTTAAATAAAAAATTTATCATGATAAACTTATCACTGTCACAAACATATTATTAACTCTATTTATTATTATTAATGAAACGTTAAATTTCATGATGACTATTACAAATTATATAACTATTTTCATTTTTGTGTACAGGATTAAATCATTAGAAAAATCTACAAATATATCAGAAAATAGTATACAAATTCTCAAAAAAATTATTCGAGAAGAAGGTTGGAAAAAATTTGATCATATTAGGATCAATTTTGATAATCATATTTTAAGTATATATGATGTACTAAATGATCCAATTACAGTCCAAAATTTTGAAACTAAAAAAAAACACGTTACTCAATTTATCAGGTGTAGATACACTGAAATATTTAAAAATTACAATGTCTTATTATCCGTCATAATAAGATTGTGCTTTAATAATTTATCTGATCACTACTTTGACTGCATGATTCTATTTTTTGATTCACTAACTAAGTCTAAAAAAATGCTTGACAAAATGCACACAGCTTTAATATCGTTAAAAAAAACATCAATATGGGATGTTAATAAGAGAGCAAACTGGGATTTACACAAACTTTTAGATTGGTTATCAAGTTACGTCTGTCTATTAAAAAATGATATTTTTTTACCACAAAATATTATTAAACAAAATATCGATGATGTCTATGAAACATTTTCAATATGTCAATTAGATAATGAAAAACAACTGAGAAGTGATCTGTATCGCATGAAAAATCGTTGTCTATTATCAATACCATTATATGATCAGACGTTTATAATAAATCAATTTCAAAACTTAGCAACAAATCAACCTAATAACCAAGATTCACTTTATGTTGCTCGTAAAGCATGCGAATATTTGAATTTATTTTGTGATGAAGTAATTAAAGTTAGCTATGAAGACCTAGGCTTTAGCAAAATTTAATAAACAAATAAAAATTAAAAACTAAACTAGAAAAGAAAGTTCAACCCTTATAACGAAATAGAAGAAAACAATACTTTATTATAATTATTACTTTTTATCTCGATCAGTTGTTATCTTTTTAAGTGTTGACCGGTCTTTGTATGGATACTGTATGGTCAAATCATAATATCTGTAATAATCATCTCATATAAATAAATCGTTAATAAATGTAACTTAAAATTTGTTTATTAGTTAATTATGTACTTGTGCACAAAAATAACAGTTTTAAATTAAGTTCACTCTTGTTATTTAATAAAAACGTATTTTAATGATTTTATTTATTCAAAATCTGGAAAATGTTGTAAAAATAAATACATTTTATTTTGTGTCATTTCATATAAAACATTTGTTTCGAAATGTTTATCTATATATTTTAGATGCTAGTAAGATTAATGATTAAAAATGTATCATATTTTGAAGTTAAATATAGAATAAATTGAGATTACTTAATTTTCAGGTAATTTTTTTTTATTATTTTAACTTTTACTGTAACCTCCTTCTAAGAGAAGAATTCTTAACCCTACGTTCCGGGACGATTAGTTAACTTTTATTAAGCATTAAATACACAGCCACACAAACAATAATCTTTTTAAATGAAATTTCAATACAATTTGTTGGATCACATCAAAATGAAATTTTTTTCTACTTTATGTCTAAGGTTGAGGAGAGTAGGCAAAGTTTACAAATATCAAGTGACCTTCCAATTTATGAAAATATTGTGGAAATGATAATTTTTTTTATATAAATTTCACAGGAGGGGAATTGAAAAATCGCCAATTTTTTGGTAATAGGAAATATTAGTTTCGATTCCGCTATTTTTATACCCTACTGAATGTCGTGACATACATTAAAGAAATACTCTGTTTATTAGTTTAAATTATAACATAACTTACTTTATCTAATGTTGTGAATAACATTTTTAATATAAAAATAAATAAGGAAAACTCAATATTGCATCAATATTTTTAGTTTAAAAATACATATTGATTATAGTTATCTTGTAATTTATTTTTAGCAATGATAATAGTAAAAGTAAAAGCCATTTGATTACATTTAATTAATAATTGAATGTATTGATGTCCAATCAATACATTCAATCATATTTGGTTCGTGAATTCAGAATCATATATGGGAGTTATATCGCTCTTGTTGTAATATAAAAATTCAATTTTTTTAAGTATTTGATCAATAACTACTAGTTTTAAAAATTCAGTGTTGTAATGTAAAAACATCGTTATAATATTCTTGAATATATCACAGCCACATAAAAAAATTTTATTTCGTATTAGAGGTCAGACTATGTTTTATTTATATTATTGGACTCGTTAAATTTGAATTCGAAGTCTAAAAAACCTCAGAGCGTCAGAGTTTTGATTTTCAGAGAAACTTATCGAATGTATTTATCCTACTTACGTTTTAGACTAGGCTAGGATAGAATAAAAGTTGTTAAAAAAATTATTTTCTGATATTAATATTATTAGGAAATGGATGTTTCTAATTAAAGATCAAATAATTTTTAAAAAATTTACTATAATTAATTTTTTAAAGTTAAAACAATTACATTGTGTGCGTGGCTAAATATGACTTAGTAAACATGTGTATTAACTATTATTCCGATTAATTATATGATATTGAAGTTTTAAAAACTTTCGTTGATTATGTGTATATAATTATTAATATATTGTGCTATTTTACTTCTGAAAAAATTAAAGGTTACGTTGAGATTTTGGGGGCAACGTTATTATTAATAATATTAAATTTGTTTATTTCAAAATTTTCTTTGGAAATAATAGAACATTGTTAATCGTAACATTTTAATTCTATATCAAAATTCAAACACGCTTGGGAGCATAAAAAAATTATATAGCCATGCTAAATAAAGTATATAATATTGTTTTAAACAGTGATATTATTGACACTTATAATACAAGTGATTATGTTACACTTCATAACTCAACATACCTCAATAAAAGAGATCCTGACCTTGTCTTTTTTATAAAAAGTGAACTTAATTCATTATACACAAAAGCCTTTGATATTTTGTACAAGACCTTAACTTTGAAGAATTACTTAATCTCGGTGCATATGGGTACAACTTTTTTCTACAGATTATCATTTATTATTTAAAAAATACTATTTTGTATTACATTAATTTACAAATTTTTGATGAACACAAAACTCATTTAATTAAAAAATATGAATGAATGAATCAAAATATTTTTTTTCATATTAATATATAAACACCTTATATATAAATATATACAAACATATTTCGCTTTTATTTGTAATAATTTTTTTAAAAATCTGACCTGTGCCACGGGGACTATTCAAAATATTAAACTTTTGCACAAAATGTTTATTTTTAAAAATGTTCCGGAAATACTGCGTCTTTAAACATATGTTAAATTAAAACTTATGTTACGTTCTATAAGTTAAAAAAAAAATGTTCCGACGATTTAATTATTTTGTGCAGGTGTTAAGAAAATACAATATTTTTATTTTATAATTTTTGATTTTATATTATTAACTTTTAATTGCTATAACTTTTTGGTTGATTGTATGTATCAATGCAATATTTTTAAAAATACTTTATATATCCCCCTTTTAGCCGACATAATTTTTTTTAAAACAGACCTTTTCTTCTTATATAGAGAGGGTTCAAAACTTGAAACAAACGTATAAAAAGTAGAATTTTGTTAACTTACTTTTTGAAAAAAAAATTACAGGTTCTATATTTGTAAAAATATTGTATAAGGTATATTTAATCATTAGCACTGAATATGGCATTCAATTTTTAGGTACAAGCGAGAAGGATACTATGAGTATTTTTATACATACGATATTGTAAACATAGAAAGTCGCTAAACCCTACGCATATCTAAACCTTTAAATACATGTGTGATAAAATTGATGTACATTTAAAATAATTCAACATTTGACCTAATGTGAAGATAATCAATTTTTCTTTTTCACGCACACGCTTAACGTCTTAACAGTAAATTCGCTAAATAGTTCATAAATCAGAGTAGATAAAATATGAAGACTTTGGCCCCCTACAGCTTTTTGGGTCAACTGTAATTTGGATGATCAACAGTGCACGTGGTGGCTATTACAACAAAATAGATAATAGAATAACGTATGATATACGAATAGAATAAATACTAAGTCGAGTAATTAATTTCTTTGACAGGCCACACAAGAAGCGTTACTGTGTGTATATAACTACTACCATCGTTAACTAAATTTGACCATACAGTATCCATACAAATACTGGTCAACACATAAAAAGATAACAACTGATCGAGATAAAACCATATAATTCGTTAATTTATAATAGTACGTATGAAATGTTATAAGTCAATAATTTGATAAAGATACTGTAATACATGAATTTTATCTACATTTGATAGAAGCAGATGAAGTGTTTAATTCATTAGCTATAAGATCATAACAATAAATATATTATTATTATTTCGTAAGTTTAAAAGTTATACATAATTAAAATCCTTGTAAAAAAAAAAATATTTTAGCATATTACAGCTAGATAAAATTCGGGTCATGAAATGTTTTAATAATTTCAAGAATTACTTTAAATCTAATTTAAGGAATATAAGTAAAGAACACGAATAAAGATTCCTTCAAGATATTATATATTTAAAAAAGTTATCAGGCAGCACGGAACAAGACAATGATAGATGATTATGTGTGGAATTTTAATTGGAATAAAAATGTGAAAATTATTCTCTAAATACAAAGTTTTAGTTTTGAAATATTTGTTTATTTTTATTTTATTTTATGTTACAATTCATTCGACTATTTTTAATTAGATTTTTACTATAGCTAATTAAATATTTAAAATTTCCAATTACGATTTTATTCTACTACAAAAATATATAAGTGTTTTTATATAAAAATAACAAATTTATTTAAGATATTTTGAATTATAAAAATACATCACACAATACTATTTTTTACTGATTAAGTATTTATCCATATTAATAGCAATTGTGCTACTAAAAGCGATGCCGTAAACAATATTTTAGTATATTTAGTATTCTCATTACATTTTTTATTGATAAATTATGTAATAAGTAATAACAATATTTATGTTTATTAAACAATAATAAAAGAAAAAAAAGTTATAGAGTAAAGTTCAACTTTACCTTTTACAAAAATGCTGTAAAACCCAACTTCATAAGTGTTGATTTATTATGTTTATATCAACTAAATAAGTACTTAAAACGAACAAAATATAATTCTGTTGAGAAAACTAAACTTTTTTTTACAATATCTGACAATGTAGAAATAAAAATATCACCCGAAACACAATACGAATTCCGGACGTTGAGCCGGCGGTTATTAAAAGGGACGTACGCACCTAAGTCCTAGACACCCCGTTGATGTGTTACGAATATACGCACAGAATGCATTGAGGAACGCACCCCCCGCTTTCTGAGCCATCACATTCGTCGTGTTGTGCTCGAGTTACCGAAAGAGGGACCTCTCGTGATTAATTCTCGGAGAATTCCTTACAAATGGCCCGCAGCCTAATTTGTGGTCGACCGTCCCCAACCATCATTACGCGTAGATGTCGCCGTAAGCTCGTGGTACGACACAAGGAACAGGACAACCGAGGGCGAGTCGACGAGGAGACGACGGGACAGCTTTATGCCGGTGTAATTGAAACTTGCACAGTGACCGGCAACATTTGTCCTTGTGAATAACGACGATAATAATAAAGACGATCGAGGGGACGAGAACCCACCTACAGTGTGATCTTATGCTATTACAGATACAATCGTATACTTTCTTTTGTTTTCCGTGGCAATGCCAAATTTTGCTAATAACGTGACTTCCAGAAGAGTGCAAGTGGAAAACTACGCGAAAATCTTGGGAAGGACACAGTTTTAATAAAACCCTCCCGACCCTCCTAGTTATTTTCAGATAACAAACGTCATTCTAGAAATTACTGACGACTAGACGTGAACTTTACAATGTTAATTATTTTAGTATGCGAACACTTCAGTTTTTATATCGTGTACAACTTTTTTATGATCTCTGATTTAGTTCCGTTTTCAGGTTTACGATCTAGGAAAGAGTAACGACATTTTCGTGCTATGGTCGATCTCGTACATTTATATTGTATATTACCAATAAAGAGGTTACGGTACGGATTGGACTTACAATGGCATTCTTTAACGGCGTTAGAAACAGTCGTGAGAGACACTATTATAGTAGGCTGATACAACGTCAAGATTCTTGACACAACAACAGCAATTGAAACCAAAAGAAGACATGGAATGAAGAAAGACAAAAGTTAAATATTGAATCACAAATGACCGATTTTACTGATTGGACAGGCGCCACCATTGTAACCCACCGTTTTAATA